TTCAACGGTCCTAAAATTCTTAACAAAATAAGCCCTTGCGAATCGTTACACTGAAAGAAAGATGCCGACGAGGACATGCACACGTGATTCAATGACCTCATTGCAGCCAGGGAGGGTTAAAGGTCTCCTATTTTTACTTACTAAAAAAAGATGATTTAAGAACTTCCCATGTGATTCACCGATTGGGTCGTGCTCTTTTACAAGGGAAGGTGGAGACCATTCACATTCGAGTTTCTTCATTTAATGAACAGATATCAATATTAATTTAATTATTTTTTTTTCAAAAAAAATAATTTAAAGATATTTTTTTATATTATTTTTAATATAATTTTATATATTATTTAAATAATTAATTTTTAATTTATTTTAAATTTATAATATTAAATATATATATATTTAATAATACATAAAAATTATACAAAAATATTATCCTATAAACACTATCTATGAGTTAATGCACTGGATTCCACCCCCGCCAGATATTTAAAATTTTGGCAGCCATTCAGTGAGCGGAAGTTACTATTCCCCAAATGGAAAGAGTACGTCCCGTCATAAACACTCTCTGCGTTATCTTCGTCCAATTTTTCTCCCTTCATATCCTTGCCGTCCACGTGGCAGAAAATGTCAGGAGGGAACAGGTAAGACAGATTTTCACGTTGCTCCCCATTGCCATCACATTCTTAGCTCTACTCCTGTTTAAAGGTCTTTATAAAGGTCATAGAGATAGAGACAATAAATGGTAGAAGCATAGGGTTTTTGTCTGTGTCTTCGATAGCAGCAGTGGTCAAGAATTCTTACCTACAGTTTCAGCTTGAGGAGGAATTAAGGGCAAAAGGTACTCGTTTGCCCCTTAACTTTTTAAATTTGAGGGTTTTTACCCTTCATATTACAATATATGAATTTTTACCCTTCATATTTTCGAGTTTGAGGAAATGAGGCAAAGTTTAACGTCGGAGCATCACGTGTAGCACGTGCACTGTTGGCTTCCGTCAAGTATACACATGTCAGCGCCACCTCAGACTTTTTTGACAACTTGGCATGCCAACTTGGACCCCCATGAGCGGAAAATCTACCTACTACCAATTTTATTTGTGAGCCCCACCATTGACTAAAGGTTTGAAAAAAAAAAAAAAAAGACAGATGAATGCCAGGAAACCGTCCGACTATTCACTTTCCTCTTCCCTTCTTCAACCATTTCTTCAACTTCTGCAAATCTCTAACATCTCAACCAATCTATTCACCTCAATCAATTTCTACATTCTGAGTTCTTCATCATCATCAAACAACAAAACCCACAGAAAACCAACAAAAAAAAACAAAACCCATTGGGGTTCTTCATCATCATAAAAAAAAAAAAAAACAAAACCCACATAAAACAAAAAGAAAAAAAGAAAATTTTTTACCACTGAGTTACATCGAACCCACGCCTGGGTTCGGTGGAACCTCGAGCGCTGGGGTTCGGTGGAACAGATCTCCAGCCTTTTTACTGGACAAATTCATAATCGTTCTGCACAAGCCAGATTGCTGAAAACTTGACAGACAAAATTTTTATGTTCCCTCCCAGGTAGGGGACAAATGGATAAACCAAGTTAAACCAAGCAATGATGTACTAGTAACTCCATACATGTTTCATGGACTTACCTGATCAACACTTCCAGGTCCAATTAGAACAAGTGCCACATTTGATGCATCCATTACATCCTGTCAATGCATAAAATACATTAAACCAAACAATCAGCATGAAAAATACATTCATTCAAAAGGTATATGCCGAGAATCATGGCTAAAATATGCCAGAACATTTACAGAACAACAGGTCCCTGTGAGATGTAAATGAACTCAATACCGTCTCTATACACTTTACAGTAATTGGTAATTGAGAATTAATGAAATTGCTAGTGCCTGTTTAATCATCTCATATTTTACCTTCTTGGCAGCAAGATAATCAGCCCGTTTGCGGCAGAGGACACACCTGAAGATGGAAAAGCAAACAAAAATGATCAAAGAAGCTAACAAAATTAAAAGGTTGGATTGATTCACAAAATGTGATGAAGTAATCACCCACAATGGCGAGCAAATGCAACAACCGCTTTCCTGTCCTTCCATAAATCAGAAATTGGAATTCCCTTCCCATTCAAACCAAACACCTGCACTTCATCCAACAAATTTTCGGTATCTTTACCCACCTCAGAAGACTGAATTCCTGTTCACAACCAAAAAAAAAAAAAAATCAACTTTTGATAACAGCTTTGAAAACAAAATACGATTGAAAGAAGTTGAATAATCAAGAATCAATCTTTAATACTTTCTGGCAGATCCAGACGCCGTCGAAGCAACGAACCGAAATCCTCGTGGCGAGAATTTGATTTCGTTTTGACAGAGCTTCAAACCTAAATTTGAAGGAGTCGTC